CCCATTTCTATGTGGGCAAGAGACTTGAACAGAATCTTCTCTGATGAAGACAGGTGCATGGCCTACAAGCACATAAAAAATGCTCATCATCCTTAATCATCAGAGAAATGCAAATAAAAACCACTTTGAGATATCATCTAACTCCAGTAAAATTAGCCCACATCACAAAATCCCAGAAGTACAGATGTTGGCATGGATGCAGAGAGACAGGAACGCTTCTGGAGAACACTCACAGAACTAAAAGCAAATCTATCATTTGATCCTGCAATTCCTCTACTAGGTTTATACCCAGATGATCAAAAATTATTTTAAAACAAAGATATTTGCACCAGAGTGTTTACTGCAGCCCAATTCATAATAGCCAACACAAGTAAACAGTCCAAGTGCCCATTGACCCATGAATGGATTAACAAACAGTGGTATATGTGCACCATGGAATACTATGTGGCCATAAAAAGGATAGAGACTACACATATTTTTTTTTTTTTTTTCGCAGTTTTTGGCCGGGGCTGGATTTGAGCCTGCCACCTCTGGCATGTGCATATTGGGCCAGCACCCTACTCCTCTGAGCCACAGGCACCACCTGACTTCACATCTTTTATGTTTACCTGGATGGAGCAGGAACATATTATTCTTAGTAAAGTATCTCAAGAATGGAAAATAAAGTACCCAGTGTACTCAATACTACTATGAAATCAATATATAATCACCTACACACTCACACGAATGGCAAAACTTAACTATAGTCCAGAAAGTAGAAGGGAAGAGGAAAGAGAGGGGAGGGGAGTAGGCATATGGGAAGAGGGAGGGTGTTTGCGGGGACCTCACCTAATATGCATGATGCAATGGTACATTTCATAACTATTAAGAAATGAGTATAATTGTGATGGATGTGTTACTTAGTTCAATGTAAACTTTTCACATTGTATATCGAAGCAGTACCCTGAACCCCATAAATGCATTAATGTACAAAGTTATGATTTAATAAAAAATAATTTAAAAAAATAAAAAAGAAAGAAAGAAAGAAAATAAATATTTAAATAAGAAATGTTTAACCTAGCTCCTTAGGCTCCTGAGAACTATGAATTTCAGGGATCAAGGAACTGTCTGAAATTGTAGGTAAAACTTTGTCCTGTGTGAATATTGTCTTCTGGGTAGTCAGTCATCAGTTTCTACAAGTGTGTTCTTAGAAGTAATAAGATTCCCATGGGCAGTGCCTGTGGCTCAAGGAGTAGGGCGCTGGCCTCATATACCAGATGTGGCGGGTTTAAACCCGGCCCCAGCCAAAAATTGCAAAAAAAAAAAAAAAAAAAAAGTAATAAGATTCCCTAGTCTAAGATCTTATTAGCCATTAGCCCTCTGTTGGAGTGCTCAGAAGCAAAACATGCCAATTGAGGTGTGCAGTGATGGCCACAACCCTTAGGATATAAGGCAAGCTACTCAACGTTCTTTGGTTTCTTACTAATCAAAATAATTCACCAAAGTGGTTTCAGTTTCAATATTTTATATTTATAAAAAAGTAATATTCCAACAAAAGTTACTATGAAATGATAGGCCTTTGCCATATCAATAAAAATTTAAATTTGTAATAGTTTCTACACTTTTGTTTTCCACATAAGATTCTGAGGTACTTGACAGTTTACATTCTTTATGAGAAATATTTCTAACCCTACCTCTATGTCCAAATTCTCCAACAATGATTAAGTCTTACAAACTTTATGACTCTTCCAGATTATCATACTCAGTATTTATACACTCCCACAAGAATGCACGAATTGTACAAATTATTTCAGGAACAACAATAAAAACTATTGAGAATGAAGGATATGATGCTTACAAATTCAAGTCAGGTAACATGGTAATAACATGGTTCTCATGTTTCTGTTTGCAGAATGAATAATGCCTACAGGCATTGTTGGCAGCAAATGAATATCTTGTTTGAATGCTTATAGGTGTTGTTCTCAGTCAAAGGTTAATACCTGATATATCACTGAAGGTTCATTCACTTGAGGTGTTTCTTTTGTCTAATATCCTCTTTTAAAGTTAAAATTTCCCCAGAAGAGACAATACATTTGGTCCCTAAAATTTCCATGAATTGGTTATCCTGTGACTTTTTGAGCCCCCATTATATGCCAAGCAATTTACATTAACTATGTTATGTTGTTGAACCTTTACAATGATCTTTTGATATAAACACTAATTTCAATTTTATTTGTGGAAAATGAAGATTAGAGAGTGTAACTTCCAGAAATTTATGTACAAAGGTCATAATTAGCAAGGCCAGGATTTGCCCCCAGATTATGCCGCCCTTACTCTCTTTCAGCCTCTACACTACTGCCATGAAGCTCATGTAATAGGGAGAGACTTACTTTAATCAGGCGCAGGATTTCTGGGCAGTCTCGAGCCTCTGCAGGTCTTACTCGGAAAGAATTCATGCTAGGTTGCCTCGTGCATGACTGACTTGTGCTTGGTTGGATTGGCTTTTGTTGACTCGGGCCTGGTTGGCTCAGGGCTGGGTGACTTGGTTGCCACATGCCTGATTGTGTCCTGCTCATTTGGATCAGATTTGATTGGCTCATACTTGGTTGACTTGCACCTGATTGGCTGGTGTGTGGTTGACTCAGACCTGGTTGACATGTACCTGGTTGGCTTGAAACTAGTTGCCACATGCCTGGTTGACCCAGGACTAAATGGTTTATGCCTGGTTGCCACATGCCTGGCTGGTTCAAGACCAGTTGGCTCATGCCTAATTGGCTCAGATCTGGTTGCCATATGCCTGGCTGGCTCCTACCTAGTTGATTGATGTCTAGTTGACTGGTACTTGATTGGCTCATATCTAGTTGCCTTGTGCCCGGTAGACTTGTAACTGATTGGCTCATGCCTAGTTGGCTAGTGCCCGGTAGAGTTATACTTGATTGACTCAAGTCTAGCTGCCTCATTCCTGGTGGACTTGTACTTGATTGGCTGGTGCCTGAATGGTTCAAGCTTGTTTGCCATGTGCCTGGTTGCCATTCACCTAGTTGGCTCTTGCCTGATTCCCAGAAGCCTGGTTGCCACATGTCTTGTTGACTCAGGCCTGGTTGGCACATGCCTGGCTGGCTCATGCCTGGTTGGCATGTGCCTGGTTGGGTTGTACCTAACTGCCATGGGCCTAGTTGTTTCATGACAGGTTGGTTTATGTCTGTGAGGTTTGTACATGATTGCCACATGTCTGGTTGTTTCATATCAGGTTGGTTTATGTCTGGAAGGCTTGTGCCTTGTTGCCTCATGGGTGATTGGTTCATACCCTCTTGTTTCATGCCCAGTTGGTTCATGTCATGTAGGCTGGTGGTAGGTTGGTTCATGTCCAGTTGGTTCATACCAATTAAGTTTACACTTGGCTGGCTCATGCCTGTTACACTCATGGATAAGCTTAATTGGTTCTTGTCTGATTTGTTCATGCCTAGTTGGCTCTGGCCTGGTTAGCTGAGGATGTGTTGGCTGAGGACTGGTTGATTTATGACTGGTTAGTGGACGAATGGTTGGCAGAGTATGGATCAGCAGATGATTGGCTGGCTAGCAGTCTTGATAGAATAAGATCCCTTAACTACAGTGCTGTGGTGAAAAGCTGTCCGCTATTCTCAGTTTTTCTCAACTTGATCCGTACTTCAGAATACTCCTTTATTGAGTTGGGAATTGGAAAAAGAAAGGGATACCTCAGGAAGGTTGTTGATGCCTCTGATTTGCTGGAGTTGGTTGACTTCACCAGCGATCACAGTTGCAGCCTTTTCTGGGTTTCAGGTTGTCATCTGGCCTTTCCTTGCCAACAAGGCAGAAGTAAGGGGAAGAAGAAAATGACCCTGGAGCGGAGCCACCTTATCCTCCCTTCGTGGTCACTGCGTCATAGTGCCAAAGTCACAATGCCCATACCTACATTCCTACATGCTCCCCCGTGTGGTGAGAGAGGGGCAAGGCAGGGCCTATTTGACCTCTGTTACCTAGAGAGTTAAGAAGCTGGAATGAGTCTCAGATCTTATGACTGACACTCTCAAGAGTCCCTGCTATTTTAACCAACCAATTCAAAAACATTTGCCCAAACTCTCCTCCCTTTTCCCATGCCCCAGTCCTCAAATAATTCACTTTCTATTCTTATCTTGATTTTCACTTATACTAGAAACTAGAAGGCTTAAACAGACTGTCTCTGTTCAAGAGACTCTGTTCAGACTGTAGATGTTCAAGTCCTGAGTGCAAAAAATATTTCCTTAAAAATAATTAATGGATGAAAGGGGAAGTGGGAGGGGGATTGGTAAACTCTCACCTAACGTGCACAATGTAGGGGTAGACATCATATTTCCTAGATGAGGGCTCAACTAAACTTGAACTTTACTTTTGAAATACAATGTAACCTAATCATTTATGCCCTCATAATAATCTGAAATAAAAATAATAACTAATAATAGCTACAGATGCTATTTATTGAGTTTGTTATAACCTAGGCTCAGTGTGAAGCACTTTACATTTTTTTTTTCATTCGATCCCATAGCAATCTTATTATCCCCAATTTGGAGGAAACTGACTAAAAAGATTTGGGAACTTACCCAAGGACTCATACCAGTTGTCAGAAAGCCTGTATTCAGATTCAGATCTATCTGACTTCCTTTCCAGGTTTTTTACCATTACTGTGTCCTGCCTCTTACATACACTCTTCTCTTCTTTACCCCCACATCTGTGAGGGCAGGAATGTTGCCTTTTTACCCTTCCACTCCGTATAATTCTGTTTCCATCATTTTATGTGCTGGCTCATTTCTTTAAGATTATTTATCATGTAGCTGGTGCTAATATTGTTTTAGATGGAGTATTATTTATTTATTTATTTATTTGTTTTGCAGTTTTTGGCAAGGGCCAGGTTTGAACTCACAACCTCCAGTATATGGGGCTCATGCCCTACTCCTTTATGCCACAGGCACTGCCCTTTTATTTTTTAAATATACTTCAGAAACTTAGTTGAGGCTGTTCTAAGTCTTATACCTTGCGTAGGGCTTTACATATGCATTGTTTTATTTAATCATCAAAGCAACACTATGATGTATGTATTATTGTTCCCCATTTTATCAATACACTGGAAATTAGAAAGATTAAATAAATTTCCTAAATTTCATAAATGGTAGAATGGGAATAGAGTCCAAAGCCCATCCCATAGATGGGTTTAAATTAAACTAGAGAGCGAAATTACTGTTAGGTCTATGTTGGACATAAATGGCACCTAAAGAGCTCATCTTCTTAGCATAACAGGAAAATTAAGTCACATTGAAGAATGACATCAAGCCTAATACAGTTTGCATGTAGGCACATGGCTATTTTCCAATCACCTGTAAGGACAATGAAAACTAAAATTTAATCAATACTTTCTGTGGTGTCAGGCATAGTTATAAAGAACACTTTGCTTGTATTAACTCACTTAGTCCCCACAACAATCCAGTGATGTAGATTATATTATTTTCCCTGTTCTGCAGAGAAAGAAACTGATATTAAAAAGGTTAAGTAACTTGAGAAAGGCATTTGTATAATTTTCATCTATAGCAAGCAGAGTTTAAATTTGTGGGACTCTCTCTATACCTCAGAACTGAGAGCCAATATTATTTTCTTCTTTCTTTCATCAGCTTTTTCCTTTTTTCTTTTTTTTTTTTAGACCCTGTAAGATGCAAACAGGAAAAAAAAGGAAGAAAAAGAACTTAAGGCAAGGAGACAGACTGCAATAGAGCTGACATTTTGTGAAATAAAAGTCCGAAGTACTTTGGAGACATTTATCAATAAGCAACACTTTTATTTATTTATTTATTT